TACAGAATCCTTTATTTTTCTTCAGTGTTAGAGCTAATTACTGCAATTCTGAGTGACTGTCAGTGAGTTACATGTAACGAGGAAAACTGCTGATGCACAACCACATTTGGAAATTGCACCTTGTGTATTCTACTATTCTACATTAAGTTGAGACCCTGACTGAGTTCCAATATAAAAAAAAGAATACAGTGAGGGAAAAAAGTATTTGATCCCCTGCTGATTTTGTACATTTGCCCACTGACAAAGACATGATCAGTCTATAATTTTAATGTTAGGTTTATTTGAACAGTGAGAGACAGAATAACAACAAAGAAAATCCAGAAAAACGCATGTCAAAATTTTTATAAATTGATTTGCATTTGAATGAGGGAAATAAGTATTTGACCCCTCTGCAAAACATGACTTAGTACTTGGTGGCAAAACCCTTGTTGGCAATCACAGAGGTCAGACGTTTCTTGTAGTTGGCCACCAGGTTTGCACACATCTCAGGAGGGATTTTGTCCCACTCCTCTTTGCAGATCTTCTCGAACTCGAACCTTCAGCTCCCTCCCCAGATTTTCTATGGGATTAAGGTCTGGAAACTGGCTAGGCCACTCCAGGACCTTAACGTGCTTCTTCTTGAGCCACTCCTTTGTTGCCTTGGCCGTGTGTTTTGGGTCATTGTCATGCTGGAATACCCATCCACAACCCATTTTCAATGCCCTGGCTGAGGGAAGGAGGTTCTCACCCAAGATTTGACGGTACATGGCCCCGTCCATCGTCCCTTTGATGCGGTGAAGTTGTCCTGCCCCCAAAGCATAATGTTTCCACCTCCATGTTTGACTGTGGGGATGGTGTTCTTGGGGTCATAGGCAGCATTCGTCCTCCTCCAAACACGGCGAGTTGAGTTGATGCCAAAGAGCTCGATTTTGGTCTCATCTGATCACAACACTTTCACCCAGTTCTCCTCTGAATCATTCAGATGTTCATTGGCAAACTTCAGACGGCCCTGTATATGTGCTTTCTTGAGCAGGGGGACCTTGCGGGCGCTGCAGGATTTCAGTCCTTCAAGGCGTAGTGTGTTACCAATTGTTTTCTTGGTGATTATGGTCCCAGCTGCCTTGAGATCATTGACAAGATCCTCCTGTGTAGTTCTGGGCTGATTCCTCACCGTTCTCATGATCATTGCAACTCCACGAGTGAGATCTTGCATGGAGCCCCAGGCCGAGGGAGATTGACAGTTCTTTTGTGTTTCTTCCATTTGCGAATAATCGCACCAACTGTTGTCACCTTCTCACCAAGCTGCTTGGCGATGGTCTTGTAGCCCATTCCAGCCTTGTGTAGGTCTACAATCTTGTCCCTGACATCCTTGGAGAGCTCTTTGGTCTTGGCCATAGTGGAGAGTTTGGAATCTGATTGATTGATTGCTTCTGTGGACAGGTGTCTTTTATACAGGTAACAAGCTGAGATTAGGAGCACTCCCTTTAAGAGTGTGCTCCTAATCTTAGCTCGTTACCTGTATAAAAGACACCTGGGAGCCAGAAATCTTTCTGATTGAGAGGGGGTCAAATACTTATTTCCCTCATTAAAATGCAAATCAATTTATAACATTATTGACATGCGTTTTTCTGGAGTTTTTTGTTGTTATTCTGTCTCTCACTGTTCAAATAAACCTACCATTAAAATTATACTGATCATTTCTTTGTCAGTGGGCAAACGTACAAAATCAGCAGGGGATCAAATACTTTTTTCCCTCACTGTGTGTGTGTGTATATATATATATATATATATATATATATATATATATATATATATATATATATATATATATATATATATATATATATTGGGAATTCGAAAATATTACAGAGGTCTGGACCTCGGTGTCCTCATATGTAGCTACGGCCCTGCACACCAGGTGTTTGTCCCTCTTACATAAGACCATCTTCTTTCAACCACTACTGAGACAGGGGTTCATGACTGATGGCCAAATACAGCAGTAACTCCCTAACACATAAGGCACTTTGGATGGCTACTACAGGAAAGGTGCTGAGTGTTTATCAGACTCCATTTTGTCAAAGAGTCTTTTTAGGTTTCACCTTCTGTATGTTGAACCTTTTTGAGAGCTTGATGCTAGTCTGGGATGCGGTTCCCTGGCTTTCCGTTGGTGTCATGATGATATTTTCTCTCCAAATTGGGATGTCTCATGCTAAAGAAATGGACATGAGGGAGAGTAATCCGTCTGTATTTAGCTCAGTAGGAGTTAATGAAAGTCTGCTGTATCATTTATCAGCACATCATTTCCTTTGGCTGAACCTTTCTTTGTTCCAGTAGCTTCCATACTATATGTGACTACCTCTCCCAGCTGTGTTTGTGTGCTTGTCAGATCGTAACACAGATTATTCTGAGAACTTCTTCGTATTTTAAACAGGGTTACTACAGTTTGCGTTACTGTGATTACTAGTAACTTTATCCTGTTAGCCAAGAGTATATAAGGATGTATTGGTGTACACTCAAGTTGGCTTGTCAGGACGGTCAAGATATTTCCACTCTGTCTGAGCTAGAGTGCGCGTACAACTGTAATCAATAAGTACAGAGATTAAACCGTGAGTTCGGAACTCTTACCTGTTGTCGTGCGTGGTCCACGTCTCTGTGTGAGTATCTTATCTATGAGAGGTCTATGCCTAAGCTAGCAAGCCTGCCTAGCTGTGCCTATCTCCATCACTTGTGGATAAGAAGATAACTCCAGTAATCACTAAAAGTACGACAGTATCCCGCTTCTGAAGAAGGCTCATGCCTAAACCTGGTCAGCCTTTTCTCTAATAACGTGTCTTCATTTTTAGCCCAGTTTTCTGTACGAAAGCACTCAAGGCTGACACAAATGTAAGCATATCTGTCAGCCTTCTCTTCCCCTGCTTCAGAGACAGAAGCAGGGGAAGAGAAGCAGCCCCTTTGATCAATCTGGCAGTGGGGTGGAGGATAGGATCGAGGGATGAGGAGAAGAGGGGAGGAAGGAGAGAAAGCATGGGAATGAAAGCGGTCTCTTTAATGAGCTCACCAGGACCATTGTTTCTGTCAGGCAGGTGTGCGTGTTATCAGAGGTGCTGAGGGAGGTTTGGAATGTCCACCTCAGTAGGGCTATAGCATGGGTGCCAGACAGTGTGTTTCTGCTCTGTCGTCACTGGCTTATGCAGGAACAGACTGGCGCCCCGGGCTAGCTGAGAGCTAACCCTGAGGGGGATTAGTACCACACAGAGAACTGTCATCCTCACCATATGTAACAGGCTGTCACTCATACTGATAAACACAGCTCTATCAAGGTTCTCTTATCCTATCTTTTGTAGTCATGGCTGTCATCTCTTCATCTCTCATTTCCTCAAAGTAGAGCTGAGGACACAAGCTGCTGACTGCTGAATAACGTGGTGAATTTTTGTTGTTGTAAGAAACGTTTGCTATGAATGGCATAGTGGAAAGTGTGTGGTCAGCCAGGTGGTGTTGTCTTGGACATGGAGGTCCTGAGTAGTCCTCTCCCTGTGTGGTACCTCTGGACCAGATGGCTCTCTGTGGGCCTGGCTGACCTTTCCTTTGCCTTGCTTCATTTGGCTCATATGTTCTTGTTTCCTACCTGCTTGACGAAGAGTCTTAGTTGTACAGATGGCTCAGTTGGTGCATGGTGCAGACAACACCAGGCGCATGTTCAGCAGGAAGGAAATAAGAGCAAATGCCCAAGATGGTGAATTCCTATCCCAGTTCCCCTTACTATGGGGGAGCTCTGTGTTTGCTTCACATAATCTTACACACGAGCAGAGACTTATCTTATCTTAGCCTGGTACTGCTTCATGTGACCTTTATTTCTGCCTCAAGACCACACTCATTAGTGTGTGTGTGTGAATGACTGTTAGCCTGTGTGTGTGTGTTGTGTGTTTTGTATGCGTGTATGCCTTTTTTGTGTGTGCGTGTGTAAGAGAGTGTGTTAAGCTTTGAATTCCTTTGATGCACAGCAAAGTCATTCAAATCCTAGAGAGAGAGAAGGGAGAGAGAGCGAACCACACTCACAGGGGGTTGCTGTTAGCGACGGAAGCTAAGCAACACCAAGTCTTTATTTTAAGCGCTATTAGCAGACAGAGAAAATGTTCTAACACTATTCCGCTGCCAGCCACATAGAGATTCAATGGCTTGATTATTTCAGTGTTGGTGTCGGAAGATCAGATAGGAGAAGTCTTTCAACTTCCCCTGTTTTGATAAGACAAAGGTCTGTGCACATTCTGGCCAGTACATCCTGTTTTAGTGCATTTTGCTTCCTTTTATTGTCTGCTTGATTCAGTGGCTGTTTTATTGGTACATATAATGTTTTATTGGTGGGTAAAAAGGTATTGTATGACATGATGACTGTTTTTTCTTACGAAGCTAAATTATTTGTCATTGGCAGATAATTGTGCTTATTTTAACATAGAATAGGCTTAATACAAGTAATTTATCTTATTTTAAGATATTTGTAAAAATATTTGACCTTAATCATCTTATTAAAGTAAAATATCTTGAAAAATATCTTGAAATAAGATCAGTTACATGTATAAAGCCTTTTTTAGTTTGCAAAATTATCTAATTATCTGCCAATGATGTTAGATAATTTAGCTTGGTAAGAAAAACAAGAAAAAAGTAAAACATTTAAAGTGAATTATGACTCATTATACAATGGGTGGGTCTAATCCTGAATGCTGATTGGTTAAAACCGCATTCCAGCTGGTGTCTATTCCAGAAGTTACCACCGGCCAAATCTATGACATTAAAATGCTTAGATTTATAATTTTGCAGTACAGTATGTGTGGTGTATGTGAGGACTGGTGCTAGCTCAGAAGTATGTGTGTCAGTGTCCTGTGGCACCCCTCAACCAGGCCTGCCAGCCTGGTGCAGATGGAGAGCTGATTGGATTTCTACTGTAATTGTGTCCCGAAGGTGCCTGAGCAGCGAGGCCTGAGCCTGAGGCAGCAGTATGGTCACTGTGGCTGCAGCTAGCCAACATGCTGTTCTCTGGATATCATGGGTGCTGCCTGCCTGGGACTAGTGTATACAGTAAATACAATGCAAGTCTGTGGGCTAGATTTAGTACACACTAAGCTTGATAGTGAAAGCCTTGAACTTTTTTCTCTGTGTCTACGAGACAAAAACAATAAACCTGTATTGAGTCAGCTTGTTTTAGAGAAAATCCAATTGTAAAAGTTCTGTGTTAGAGGACAATACTTTTTTACTGGGAATAAAGCTTCAATAAAAGTGGCCTTGAGTGTATTTTTAACTGCCTCCCCTAGGGACCCTGCTTGGCTACAGAGTGTGAGTTGGCTTTGCTTATGTGAAAGCGTTGGTTTCAAACAGTGAGGATCTTAAGGCTCCGTTGGGACACTAGACTGTCAGCATAGTGACAGACTGTCTTTAGAAGCTCTGAAGCAAAATGTTGATTTTTGAGACTCACTGTTTAGGGACAGTTGGCTGTTAGTATACAATTCTGCTAGGATGCTTGACTATGTGAACATTTGGCTGTTTTAACTGTTAACTGACAGAAATACTGTTGACTAACTGTTAGTATAGTTGACTGTTTGACTAGCACCGTAGTCTGTATAGAAGAGCACAGCTGTGAACTGTTGTGATAGTTCTGTGTTTGGATAGTGTCTATGTGAGTGTATCTTAGAGGAGGCTCTGTCTGCTGGTATTAGTAGTATGTTGGGGCAGTTTAGTGTTTGATAGCATCAGGGCCAGGCGTCTTCCTGGACCTGTGTCTCTTGGCGATGATAAGAACATCCTGTTAGGAACAGCTTAGTAAACACACACACAACTCTGCTCTGCTCCATCTCAGCCAAAACCCACAGCACATCACTGAACCAAAACCACTTATTCTGTTCTTATAAATTAGTCATCCTACTGCATAGACTTGTTTTCTTATTAACATCCCTCGGGATGTCAAGGAATTTTTTTCTGCATTAATCAGAGCGATCGTTGTTGTTTGGTTATGAAAATACTTATAGGTGATTAAAGCCTTCGAGATGTTTTTTTCAAAGGCATCGTTATCAGTCATACATCTAAATGTACTGTTTAGACTAGATCATGTTTACTGTCTGTTATTTCGTATCTTCTGTGTAAATACAGTAGGTCTGAGTAAACAGGACACATTGACACGTGAGAGTGTGTGGTACTGTCAATAGAGTTGGCTAATCCTGAAACAGACTGGCAAGATTATGAGATTATCATTATCATCCATCATTGTCATTATCACCAGTCTTTTTTGGGAGAATGATTGCACTCTCTGCCATTTCTAGTCTGGTCCTTTGGGAGGCGGCTTCATAGTTCACTTCTCCAGATTCTAGAGAGGAATTTGAACTGGTAAACTCCCCACCCCCTGCTGCAGGGCTAGATTTGAGCCCAGAATCATAAAGATCAGTTTAGGACAGTGCGTCCTAAATGGTGGACTGTGGCCAGTCCCCTTGGGTTGCAGCTGGGTTCTGCTTCCACAGTGATTTAGATCACTAGTTCCCAAACTTTTTCCATCATTGGGGAACATCCTCACTCTCGTTCGCTCTCTCTCTTTGTCATTCTCCATTGTGTCTATCTCTCTCACGAGTTGACCTATGGTGTTTCCCAGATGATGCATCAGCACCCAGTGGTAGGTCATCATGGCAAAAGCCTCCTGTGTCACGGCCAACTGTGGGTTTAGAATCTGGCCAGAAATATAGTATATTTTATCTAGTGAGACAAGAAAATTATTTTATTTAGGTCAAATTGAAAAAAAAGTTTGGTAACCGCTGCTTTCTACGAACCTGTGTGTGGCTTTAGCACGTCGTGTTGAGACAAGTTTGCGAGAAGTTTTTCAGAATTATTATTATTTTTTGTTATTTAGCAGACGCTCTTATCCAGAGCGACTTACAGTTAGTGAGTGCATACATTTTTCATACTGCATACATTTTTCAGATCTTGCTCCACTGGCTTCGGAATGGGTACTGGAGCACTGATAATATACATATCCTCCCAGTCTATTGTCTAGTTTCCTCAGTATTCATTTAGAGGAGAAATAAAGAAAAAGTGACAAAAAATAAAAGTGATTTTCTTTGATCTAGGCCTCTTATTTCTGGTTCATAACCTTTTACAGTGAGGGAAAAAAGTATTTGATCCCCTGCTGATTTTGTAAGTTTGCCCACTGACAAAGAAATTATCCGTCTATAATTTTAATGGTAGGTTTATTTGAACAGTGAGAGACAGAATAACAACAAAAAAATTCAGAAAAACGCATGTCAAGAATGTTATAAATTGATTTGCATTTTAATGAGGGAAATAAGTATTTGACCCCTCTGCAAAACATGACTTAGTACTTGGTGGCAAAACCCTTGTTGGCAATCACAGAGGTCAGACGTTTCTTGTAGTTGGCCACCAGGTTTGCACACATCTCAGGAGGGATTTTGTCCCACTCCTCTTTGCAGATCTTCTCCAAGTCATTAAGGTTTCGAGGCTGACGTTTGGCAACTGAACCTTCAGCTCCCTCCACAGATTTTCTATGGGATTAAAGTCTGGAGACTGGCTAGGCCACTCCAGGACCTTCATGTGCTTCTTCTTGAGCCACTCCTTTGTTGCCTTGACCGTGTGTTTTGGGTCATTGTCATGCTGGAATACCCATCCACAACCCATTTTCAATGCCCTGGCTGAGGGAAGGAGGTTCTCACCCAAGATTTGACGGTACATGGCTCCGTCCATCGTCCCTTTGATGCGGTGAAGTTGTCCTGTCCCCTTAGCAGAAAAACACCCCCAAAGCATAATGTTTCCACCTCCATGTTTGACGGTTGGGATGGTGTTCTTGGGGTCATAGGCAGCATTCCTCCTCCTCCAAACACGGCGAGTTGAGTTGATGCCAAAGAGCTCGATTTTGGTCTCATCTGACCACAACACTTTCACCCAGTTCTCTGAATCATTCAGATGTTCATTGGCAAACTTCAGACGGGCCTGTATATGTGCTTTCTTGAGCAGGGGGACCTTGCGGGCATTGCAGGATTTCAGTCTTTCACGGCGTAGTGTGTTACCAATTGTTTTCTTGGTGACTATGGTCCCAACTGCCTTGATCATTGACAAGATCCTCCCGTGTAGTTCTGGGCTGGTTCCTCACCGTTCTCATGATCATTGCAACTCCACGAGGTGAGATCTCGCATGGAGCCCCAGGCCGAGGGAGATTGACAGTTCTTTTGTGTTTCTTCCATTTGCGAATAATCGCACCAACTGTTGTCACCTTCTCACCAAGCTTCTTGGCGATGGTCTTGTAGCCCATTCCTGCCTTGTGTAGGTCTACAATCTTGTCCCTGACATCCTTGGAGAGCTCTTTGGTCTTGGCCATGGTGGAGAGTTTGGAATCTGATTGATTGATTGCTTATGTGGACAGGTGTCTTTTATACAGGTAACAAGCTGAGATTAGGAGCACTCCCTTTAAGAGTGTGCTCCTAATCTCAGCTCGTTACCTGTATAAAAGACACCTGGGAGCCAGAAATCTTTCTGATTGAGAGGGGGTCAAATACTTATTTCCCTCATTAAAATGCAAATCAATTTATAACATTTTTTTGTTGTTATTCTGTCTCTCACTGTTCAAAATAAACCGACCATTAAAATTATACACTGATCATTTCTTTGTCAGTGGGCAAACGTACAAAATCAGCAGGGGATCAAATACTTTTTTCCCTCACTGTACAAGGAGTTTTTCCTTGCCATGGTTTTCTCTTGGAGGGTTTGCCTGGATTACTAATTTAAATGGTTGCTGAGAACAATAATACTAATAAGATGTGATTGGCAGTCTGTGGTGTCTTTGGCTGACCTGTCTTGTTTGTGTTTCAGGGGGGCTTTCTCTGAGGTGGTCCTAGCGGAAGAGAAGAGGACACAGAAACTGGTGGCCATCAAATGCATCCCTAAGAAAGCCCTGGAGGGAAAAGAGAACAGCATAGAAAATGAGATCGCTGTCCTGCACAAGTGAGTGATACACACACACACACACACATTTACACACCCTTGTTGCTTATTGATGTTAGGGGAGCAAGTGATTTAACTCTGAGACAGATAGTGACTACAATTGCAGTAATGACAGTCTGGTTAAAATACCTCCCTTTAAAACTGTGGAATTACGGACCAAGCCGGAAACAACGGAACTAGAGGGGCCTAAGCTATTTATAGTGCTCTTGTTACCTGGGTTACATGAGACACAGAGGCCAAGTGAATATACAGGGATATTTCTAGAGCTGAGGATGTGCGGACGAGAGAGAGATTGTGAGTGAGAGAGAGGGATAGACGGAAAGAAAGAGACAGACAGGAAGAGAGAGATACAGAGAGAGACCATCGTTTAAACTCCTAAAAGTCTAATTAAGCCAGAATTGTAACATTTTCATTGCAGATCACCTCATTCTTCTATTCTTCTAGTAGTGATTGTATCAGTCTGTGCCTTAGGTTAGGGTCCTTCCTTGTGATGTAGAGGTCAGGTAATGAGCCAATAGTGAGGAGACAAGGAGGAAAACCATTCATTTTAAGAGTATTGTAACACAGCCTCCTACTCTTCCCATTAGTGTATTCCCATGAGGTCATGAACTGTCAGAGAAACCTGGAGTGAGATGCTGAACTCTGTATGTTTACCCAATTACTCAAGGCAACATGGCTGCCTCTTAATGACGGTGTAAAACATCTGTTAGAGGACATCACTACTGCACCCATGAAACAGCTTGTCTGACGACTCAAATTTAATTATTCCGCTGCTCTATGTTCGCTACATACTTCAGTCCGAGACTGCCATCGTTGAAGTCGTTTGTGGTGACGTCAAAATTAGGGGTGTTGTACAAAACAAAGTAATCAGCGATCGGATCATCTCTAACCAATCAGAGTATCAAAGCCAATGACACATTTTCTAAACGCTGCTTTGTGTTATGGGCACAGTGATGCTGAAACGTTGGTGGTTTCTTACCCAATAAATTACTGGGAGTTTATACATAGAGTGTGCAACTCTCTTTATTTGTTTTTATAGCTTACATTTTATTCACTGTTAGTCAGCACCTCTACACTATTTGCTTCTGGCCCAGCCCATCTGTTTCTGGGACCAATCAGAATGGTTAGAGTGTGTGCGCGTTCTAGAAATCGTTGGGGAGGTACTCAGATCCAGACTCATTGCAGAGAAGAAACTAAAGTCCGTGGGCATGGCGTAGCGTTTGGCTGGAGGAACGAGTTTGGGTAACCAGGCAATGAAACAGGACAAAGTTGCTTAGTCATCCAGAGTCACATCAGACAGGATGAAGTGAACAACAGTGTAGAATATAGTGGGTAGTTGGTATCAGTGTGAAGGGTTCTGGATACAGTTATCTGTTAACAGTTTGTAATCAACCCCAAGCCCCTACAAACCTCTTCATGGTCCCTCATATATCTGTAACATCACATGGCAAAGTGTTAATCAAGTTTAAACAAATAAGAGGGACAGTGTCTTACTTCTTACTGAGAGAGAGAGAGAGAGATAAGGATAACACTTTATAGCTGTTGAAGTGGCTGTGCTGCTAACTTCCCTTACTGTACTCTAGTTTAACCAACTGTACTGTATGTATCCCCCAGTCCTGCACAAAACCATTAGTCAGCCTCTGTATGGAGCAATTCATTATCTCTGCTCACTCTTTCCACTCAATGAAACACTTTACTGAGACCATAATGAAATCGAAAGGCTTTTATAATCTCCCTCTTGTCTCAGTTGGATCCCTGCCAATGATAAAGTGTTGTGATTTTCCCCAGGCAGCAATGTTTCAGACAGGGCACAGTAACACACGTGATACAAGATTGATACTGCGGTGCGGTTCCATTTTTGTTTTGGCCTCTCTCCGAGCCGTGCCAATGTGACAAGTGTCTGTCATCAATGGGGTGCCTGCCGTCTGTCTGTCTGTGTCATCAAAGGGGTCTGATATCGTTCTATTTGGGCAGGTCTTCTAAAAATGTAGTGACACTGATGAATGGACTATCAGTAGCTTGAGGGGAAAGCAATGTATTCTACCTGCGCTGTGCCATGATACTTTGGTGTAGAGAGAGAGACACCTAGTGATAGAAGAGCTACTCCGTTGTAGTCATAGGAGGATTTGGCATTGTGTTAGAGCATTGTTAGCTTTCTACCCCATTCATGGTTCCTACACTCAAGCTGAGCTCAAACCAAAGATTGAAAAATGGCTTGTGAGGAGAGACTTAGTGAGTGAGTGTGTGAATGAGTGTGTGTGTGTGTGTGTGTGCGTGCATGCACCTACATGAGTGCGTGTCTGTGGGTGGGTGTGTGTGTGTAAACAATCTTTCTCAGACAGTCTTTGAGTGTAAAGTGAAGTGTTTTAGGTGGGCGAGCACGGGGCTGATGGGAGAAAGCCGCCTCCAGAGCCGTGACTCACCTGCTCAGTGTTCTGTTCTGTCTCCATGCCAATGACTCCCAGGTGGGCGTCGGAATACACTGCTCAACCAATTAGAAAGATGCGTGACACCACACAGTCTGACATCACTGGCAACACAACTCTAGCTCCAGCTTAAACTAATATTAGTGATAATTAGTATAATATATATTGTAATCTCTCGTAGACAGACTGTGTAACCATAAATGGTACCGTAGAGCTGTCATGATACAATGGAAGGCGTAAGATAACGAGCAGCATTAGTTCTGTTGCTTTGGACAAATCACGATTTCGCAGGTGTTAGCATCTTTCGAATTTCAAAAGGGGAGGGGACATTTGGCCTATAGACTTGTCATAAATTGCAAAGAGAGGGTGGAGCTCTTCTTTCCTTCTTAACATGCATGTACCCAGAACTTAATCGAGCATCTGACCAATTACGTGAGACTTTAGCTCTGGGTTAACCGAGATTATATATAAAGCACCTTTTTAATATAAAATAATACTTTTTTCATATAAAGTGCTCCCTATGATGTTTATTTAGATAGAGAAATAATGAGAACGATCTCAGAGAAAATCACAGAATGCAATTTTTAACGATCACACTTTGTCAGACAGTTCTCTATTTCTAATGGTAATGTACAATGTTTGTGACTGACTCTCTCTCTCTCTCTCTCTCTCTCTATCTCTCTCTCTATATTTCTCTCTCTCTCTCTTTCTCTCTCTTTCTCTCTCTCTCTCTCTCTAGGTTGAAACATGCCAACATTGTCTCCCTGGAGGACATCTTTGAGAGTCAATCCCACCTCTACCTGGTTATGCAGCTGTGAGTGATCATCCTGCTGTCTTTATTATCTGCCTCTATCTTCTATCTCTCTCTATCCTCCTTCTACCCACGTCAGCCCTTTCTGTCCCTCAACCAGCTCACTCTCTGCCTTGTGAAGAGGCAGTCTTCAGTTTGAAAACTTTCAAGATTATTCCTCTGCAATGTATGTGTGTTTGCGTGTGTGTATTGTAAGTCGCTCTGGATAAGAGCGTCTGCTAAATGACGTAAATGTAAATGTAAATGTATTAGACTCCCTGTCTGTGCTGTCTCCCACGCACAGTGTCGTTCTCCATTAATTACTCTCTGAGCTCAGGGGCCTTTCTGTTGACTGATCCCAACAGAAGTCAAGTCACAGACTGCCCCCCACCCACACACACACACATACACACACACACACAGCATTGTGCCTGCTGACAACCACTGGGGAATGAATGTGCGCTACACCTGCAGCCTCTCTGCCCCCCACCCATTTCTCTTCCTGAAATGTCGGAAGGTGTGGAGCGAGTGAGATACAGAGAGAAAGAGTGGTGTGTGAGAGATAGAGATTGCTTTTACTGTTGAAAACAGTGGGTGGTGAGATGAAAGGGGGGGGGGGGGGGGGTTCACTTTAGCAACACTGCCATAAGGGCAGTCAGATTTAACCAAAGAACAGTTGGGGGTTTGCACAAATAAAAATCCCTTTTATCTCTCTTCCCCTCTTTCCCTCCTCCTCTCTCACTCTTTTTCTCTCTCCCCCTCTCTCCCTATTGTCTGTCTCTCTCTCTCTCTCTCTCTCTCTCTCTATCTCTCTCTCTCTCTGGGAGGCAGCATGACATGGCTTTAACTTGTTTTTAGAGCTGAAACACAGAGAGCAGTGGTGGGTACATCTAGGAAGAAGCAATGCCTCCACCTAGTGGTGATGTAGGCTTATAGACGGTTGAAGTTAGATTGCCATACATAGCAGGTGTACATCAGACGCGTTCCTCCTCTCTGTCCAGGGTGTCTGGTGGGGAGCTGTTTGACAGGATCGTGGAGAAGGGCTTTTACACAGAGAAAGATGCTAGCAAGCTCATCCAGCAGATCCTGGACGCTGTCAAATACCTCCATGACATGGGCATCGTACACCGCGACCTGAAGGTGAGCCTGGGTCAGGGGTCAAGGGTCAGGTGGTGAGTATAACAGTGAAAGAGGAGATTTCAGTGTTTAACACTGGAGTCATTTACCTTCTTCTTTCTGTCCAATGACTGAATAGTACAAGACTGGATGAGTGATAGCCACTCTATAGGATGAAGACACCAGGTGTGCTGTGAAAATTGCAACTTTGAATTTCAACCATTTTACTATTTTGCGATTAGAGGTTTAAGGGTGACCTTATAATTTAGTATGGAAAATGTTTGTTGCCTAGGCACATGATGCTTTTGTCCCAATCGTTCTACAGTGCCTTTAAATGAGATAAATTATCTTTACTCCTCTAACGAGCTAATTTGTTTACAGGCAGTTCAGCAGCGTATAAACTGATTGATCATTAGTTTGAATAATGAATTATTTCCCCAGTTTGTATGTGTGTGTTTATAAAATGTTAGTGAACAATAAAGTTGATTGAATTCTCTGTCTTCTTTTCCAGCCGGAGAACCTTCTGTACTACAGTATGGAGGAGGACTCTAAGATCATGATCAGTGACTTTGGCCTGTCAAAGATCGAGGGATCTGGAAGTGTCATGTCCACAGCCTGCGGAACACCAGGATACGTGGGTAAGGAGGACTGGTACTGATCAGTACATGCCTGTGTGTGTGTCTGTATTTATGTTTCAAGAGGATGTGGTTTCTATGATTTAGGGCTCTTTTCTATCTGTATCACGGAAATCCAGCATTACAGCGTGATTTAAATTTAAAGGCAATGTTCCCGCGTTAGTGGAGACTGCATTCACGGTAAACGGTTCAATAGTAAATTACCTTTGCATTTATAGCGCTACAATCGCTTCAGCAATACAGATTGAAATGTGAATGTAAAATGTAATGAAAGCACACACCCAGTGATCATGTCAGGCTAGATGTGTAATGATGCTGATGAAAACACTGCTCTCTTATCGTTGGCAGCCCCTGAAGTGTTGGCCCAGAAACCCTACAGCAAGGCGGTGGACTGTTGGTCAATCGGTGTCATCGCCTACATCCTGTGAGTCATGGGGTTGGACTGGCTCTTTCACTTTAGTCTTTCTCCTACCAGTCTTACTGTGTTACACTAGTTTCCACTTCATTGTGTTCAACAATCAACTCATACCAGATTACTTCATGGATGCAAGTATAAAAGCATTACAACAGGTCCCCTAACTCTCACATGATGCCTTTGTGCACTTATTCTGACGCAGGTTGTGTGGATACCCTCCGTTCTATGACGAGAACGACGCCAAGCTCTTTGAGCAGATTCTGAAGGCAGAATATGAGTTTGACTCTCCCTACTGGGACGATATCTCTGACTCAGGTACAGTAGTCCTACGTTGTCATTATTAGTTCCATTTGTCAGCAGTTTCATATTATTGGAAGTTACTTACCTTGGTCTGGGGTTTGTTATGGTTTGAGTCTTCCTGCCAAGCTGTCAGTGTGTGTGTATGGGATTAACCATAATACACTCACTGGCCATAGAACAATCACTGAGGCCCTGTGAGATCACCATTACTTAGAGCTCTGGGGATCATGGTACAGTACATAGTCCTGTGGGGAGTTTCTGAAGTCAGTCCAAAGGCACGTGGACAGTTTATGTATTTTACTGTCAAGTCAGTCTGGACAGTGTTTCTGCTGCAGTGAAGTTCCTTTTACTGTAGTATCCTAGGAGTCTATTTCTGCGTCAGCTACCTTTTTATTGTGTGTAAGTAGCATCATTAGATATATCTATGTTTTAAAAAAGGCATTGCCTTTGGGTTAAATATATTACTTTTCATTCTGTGTTTATAGCCAAAGACTTCATAGTCCACTTGATGGAGAAGGACCCCAGGATACGCTACACATGTGACCAGGCTCTGCAGCACCCTTGGTAGTGTACACCATCTTCTCCTTGACAATACACGCACACACACACAACACGACTTTATCATGTCCAGAATTATCTACTAAATGTGTGCTTTTGCCAAGTGTTCACCTGTTCTTGTGACAACCAGCCGAATTTGTCCCCTTATGTCTTTCTCTGTCCCTCAGGATCGCTGGTGACACAGCTCTAGATAAGAACATCCATGAGTCTGTCAGTGCTCAGATCAGGAAGAACTTTGCCAAGAGCAAGTGGAGGGTGAGTTACTTTTTCTGTGCATCTGGTCCTCTTCAAAATGCGAATACATTTTTGCTGGTGTACTGTGTTTAGTATATTAGTAGAATACTAAAGATCCTGCAGTATTCAGCGGACTGTTATTAAGTCAGTACAGCTGTTATGGCATTTATCATGTATCACTTTTCAAAATTCTGATCTTAATATGTTCCCTCCTGCAGCAAGCGTTTAATGCCACGGCGGTGGTGCGTCACATGAGGCGTCTGCAGCTGGGCACCAGTCAGGAGGCCCCCAGCCAGACCACCCTGCCCAGCCCCCTCAGAGCCCACCTGCTGTTGCCCGAGGCCACAGAAACAGAGCACACCACCGGTCAGTGGGTCAAAGCACCGTCACACCACACAAGTTAGGACTATTCAAGTGTAGCAAAACGTATTTGAATCTGTGGAGACACGACTTGATATTGTGAATGCCCCCCTCTCTCTCTCTCTGTGTTCCAGAGTCTCCGTGTGAGGGGGGCTGCTGCCAGAGTGCTGATGGGGGGGCGGAGCGCGACCACCTCTCCAACTGCACATACCGCTGCCATCCAACCAGCCGGGTCTGATCCCTGCTCACCCGGGCCACGCGGGGCCAACCAATGACTTTCACATTTACCTCTGGAGACCAGAGAACTCCCTAGTCTGGCCAGGAATACAGAGTTGTTCCAGCAACCCGCCACCAGGAGGGGCAGGCGGGTTATGAATCCAGGGTGGGGAGGAGGGAGGAGGGACTCGATGCCAACAGAGGAGGTAACTTGAATGGATTGGGTGAGAGCGGAGGATGAGATGAGAGAGGAGAGGAAAGGAAAGGAGGAGGACGTTGAGAAAGAGAGGTGTGGTGCCCAGAATAATCCTGGGTCATATATTTTGGTAGCGGGACAGAGCTTGGACAGTGTTTTACTCATCCTTTTAAAATGTGCATCTGCTTTTTATATCTCTGCATTTATGTGCATGGTGTTTTTTTTATCATCATTATCTTTCCCCTTTGATAGAATCCACTAATGATATCTGCATGATGAGGTGACAGTTCCCCCTGCATGTTGGCAGCAGGTGTTTTATAGCGTGAAGAGTGTATTGCAAAATCGTGTATGTATGGTGGTAATCATTATGGTATAGTTCCTGTACAGCAGATACACATCTTTATGACCTTAATGAGTTTAGTCCTTCAGCATTACATTTGTATGGCTTTGTTGTATGTTAAAATTATTTTTAAAATATAAATGTAGCCCAAGAAGCATTCACCTAATACCACATCTGGAGAATCAATGTGAGAATACTCCATCCATTGGGCTAGTATACGGTAGACCCAGTTTGTGGTTGTGCCCCCCAGGCTTGTAACAGAATAAGGCTTTCTGATTTTAACTAATTCAGCACAGGGACTTCTTCTATGGTGCCTTTAGAACAGTATCAAAGGTTTATTTTCTGGTAGCTTTTAGAAATCTAAAGATACATATCTGTACAGTTAAAGGAGCATTAGAGGCTATTTCATTTCTATCATTGTATTTTTATATATATTTCAATGTGGCAATTCAGTCGTTAAAATACAGACTTTTACCTCAGTCAAGATCTGTCCAGATCTCTTTCCCAGTTGAGAAGTGTAATACCCGGGAGATAGACTTACATACACAGCTATTCCTCTTAGTACTAGTTAGTACTTAGTTTTTCCAAGCCATTGTATCTGTACAGAGAGAACTTGAGTTAAAGAATGTAAATATACATCTCATTGTCTCACCTCATAATTTATTCTCTCTCACTCATCATAATTAAGCAATAAGGCACGAGGGGGTGTGTTATATGGCCAATATACCACGGCTAAGGGCTGTTCTTATACACGACGCAACACGGAGTGCCTGGATACAGCCTTAGCCGTGGTATATTAGCCATATACCACAAACCCCCGAGGTGCCTTATTGCGATTATAAACTGGTTACCAATGTAATTAGAGCAGTAAAAATAAAGTTTTGTCATACCCGTGGTATACGGTCTGATGTTCCACGGCTGTCAGCCAATCAGCATTCAGGGCTCAAACCACCCAGTTTATAAGGTCATTTAGAACATACTTTTGGTTACCTAAAAGAGAAGGCAGGATTTTATATCAAAGGACTTTACTTTACTCATTTGTTATTGTTCCTTTGTTTTTTCAACAGTTCAGTTTACATTCAATCCATCATCTTCATACATTTAGTGTACATAAATTAGCTGACGATGGCTCTTCCGATTTGTTCCATATAATACTCGCACTTTTAATTAAAACATACTGACTTAATTCTCTGACGAGAAGGGTACAATGTGTTTCCATTACCAAGCCAGTCCAGTCCAGTGGGTTATAGCTCCTACTGTTAGTAAGATTTAAGGCTTTCTCACGTTCGTTCCAATAGCCAAGTGAACAAGACTTGGAAGTGTGGCAACGCGAGACTAGTAGGGAGAGGGACATCCTCTCTGTCCTCACTCTCTCTAGCTAGTCCCACACACATGCATTGACTCTACAGACCTACTTGCCATAGCCTGCATTGCATTCTAAGCTAATTGATTGACACAAATTTGACTTGGCGTTTCCTGTTTCAGTGGCTTTTGTGTAGTGTGCTAGTCTAAATTCTGATCACTGACTGTGCTGTTCCGCTTGTTGATATTGAGCTGTCACAACATGGATCGTTTGATTGAATTTTGCTCTCAATGTTGTGTACTCAGTGGTCTACTCTACACAATGCGCCGTCAGTTATTTTTTAAAGGGACATTCATTAAAGTAGTGCCATTTTCATTAAGGAATGACTTCAAATCAAATTAGTACAGTGTTAATGGCTAATCACTAAAAAGGTGGCAACATTTGGTTTCCTGAGTTGGGATTGACATGTTGGAAGCCAATAAGACTGACTACATGTTGAGGTCTTCCAGATAAAGTGGAGGACAGGGTCTGATCTCTTTCTGCTCAGTGATGTTATGAAAATTAAAAGAAAGGCTAACTCTTCTCCAACCCTAGCTTTCCCCCTGAATGTATCTTTTGATTCTATGATTGTTTCCTTTGTAATAGTGAGTGCCATTTGTGAAAGACATTTAACAATTTTAACTGTAGCCTGTCCAATGGTTGCATGGTATGATTCCAAATGTGTGAGAGAGAATAAAACATTTATTGTGCAAACACAACACAAGCTACACACATAGAATACTTTTTGTTCTGTATGCAGTATAGTGAAATGAGGAATCTTAATACATTTACATTTTACATTTTAGCAGACGCTCTTATTCAGAGCGACTTACAGTTAGTGAGTGCATACTTTTTCATACTGGTCCCCCGTGGGAAACGAACCCACAACCCTGGCGTTGCAAGTGCCATGCTCTACCAACCGAGCTACAGGGGACTTACCAACATGTTTTATTTTAGATAAGTTACATTCACCAAATTAGATACTTGACATATGGACAGAGACAAGGGCAGTGCAAGTTGTCATATCTTCAAGTGTGACTAACAGTAACAATTGTCAGTAAATCTTTAACATGTATTATTGGCTTTATCTTGTATTTGATCTCCACTAATTTGTTTGGATAGTGAAGTAGTTTGTGATGCAGTGAAAATGTCCCAAGAGTGTGTGAAGGTAGAGTGTACGAACAAAGGAGGGCAGATTGGTGGAGGCAGGTAACCCTCAAATGTCCCCTGCCCAGGGCTTTAACCCATTCATTCTGATTAGAGAGAAATAAAGAGAGAGGGAGAGAGAGAGATGAAGGAATAGAAACAGACAGTTCTAGAGGATAGATTTAGGCATGGTTTAGTAGTTTATTGTAGCCGAATAGTAGAAGACTAGAGGTCTTTTAGAGAGGACGCTATTGCTACATTTCCACATCATAAGAAGATATTCTAGCCTTACCTCAAGTGGTACACATTCAATATTCAAAATGTATATGAAGGGCTTCACTGTATCTAAAAAGATGGTGGTTATTTGATAGCTGATGGGTATTTGATGAGTTTACATGTTGACATTTGCTTACTCCAAATTAACAATCTGAACAAGTCCTTTGATAAGAAAAGTATATTTAGTTGTATTTTCTGTTCTTTGTTTTTTGTTGGAAGTAAATTATATAAATTAATATGTGTATGCATAATGAAGTATATAATATAGTATTTTTTGTAAAAGCTACAGTACTATTGCATGTATGCAATGCATCGTGAGCTATTGAATATTAACTATGGAGTATTGCTAAGTATCAAAGCCAATTATTTGTACTTTGAACAGATTTGTAAATGGATGGTATATTAAAAATACTCTGTCTATGCATTGTTTGTCTGACTGTGTCCTTCCTTACAGCTTCTTGAGCCCTTGAAGCCAATCTTAATACTCAGGCTGTGTCCTAAAAGTCTGATATGATGCTGTCATTTCAGACAAAGTGCACCAGGATAGTTTCACTCACTTTGGTGATGAGTATAGGGTCTTTGCTGTTTGGATGTTCAGGTTTCCTGCTTAACTACCGGCCGTGCTGTAAACAACAGACACAGACACTTTTAGTGTGTTTTCTGTAGGGAAGCTAATGATCCATAATTTATGACATTCCTGGGAGTGTGCAAACTTTAAATGTTGAATTACCATAGCATTTTTGTATGTTCTCTATAGTTATGTACTTGAAAACCAATTCGGCACATTTGGAAAACTCCTGGCAGACTTGATACAAAATATTGTGTAGTGATGTAATTCTTTACTGGATCAGTCTTAAACGTTGCACATACACTGCTGCCATATGGTGGACAACATCAAAATTACATCTAGAATCCTACATCACTGTCTGGCCTTTCTCTTGCATTTCAAAGATGATGCAAAAAAAAAAATATATATATATGCATGTTTTTTTGTTTGTATTATCTTTAACCAGATCTAATGTGTTATATTCTCTTACATTAATTTCACATTTCCACAAACTTCAAAGTGTTTCCTTTCAAACGATATCAAGACTATGCATATCCTTGCTTCAGGTCCTGAGCTACAGGCAGTTAGATTTGTGTATGTCATTTTAGGCGAACATTTAAAAAAAGGGTCCGATCCAATGTGAAATTGTGGCCAGGGCCGGGCTGGGAAGCTGAGTCAGAAGTACAGAGGGATGACGTGAGTAAGGAGAGAAGAAGGAAAGAGAGTGAGGGAGTGTGGGGTGATAACGCTCAGCAAAATCAAGTGATAATTCAACAAATCAATTTCATTTCAGATAATGCAAAGTGCTCAATGGCAACCCGGAAAAGACAGTCCCTAGGAAGGGAGAACCTTGGGTAGAACCAGAGAGTGGGATACCATCCACTTTCTGTGTGGTCTCACCCTAACCCTCCACCACTGCCTACCATCATTCCCTCTGCATCTTTCCACACTCTCTCCTTCATCATCCACATAGTTGCACTCTCTATTTTCAATCAGTTTCATTTTCCTGGTAATACCACCATAATTCCTACCCTGTGAGTTATCTTCTGAGTGAGGGAGACTGCCAGACTCCTTCTCTCTATCTGCAGTAGTCTTCCCCTGCCTCAGCTCACCACAGCCTCATTTACCCAGCATTCCTCCTGTCTTGGGGAGAGAGATCGACAACGAGAGAGACT